GGTGTTGCCAAGTGGGGATTCTTCCAATTTTATTATTATTTCTGTGTTTATTCTGTGGCATTCTACTATAAGGAAAATCTTCTACTAAAGCCTTGGAATCAGCCATTTCTCCAAAGATCCTTAGTTTCTTTCAGTGGAGAATGGTTTTTAGAAACTATGATCTGAGCTCCCTGGATTGTCATTGCTTTTAGGCCCCTTTGACAGAAAGAGCTAGGAAATATATATATTAGAAATAATAAGTTTTACTCATATCTTCAGTTCCAGTCCAACTCTGCAGGGTTCTTCCTTGCCTTTCCCTATTTCTTACTTTTATCTTCTTCTACAGTGAAAACCCTGGAGCTCAGCATTATCAGCAAATTCACAAAACTGTGAATTTTTAAAGTGTTAGATATGTAGCTGGGCGTGGTGGCTCACACCTGTAATCCCAGCACTCAAAGTATGAAGATAAAATGTGAGCTGGCACGCCAGTTAGAATGGCGATCATTAAAAAATCTGGGGACAACAGATGCTGGAGAGGATGTGGAGAAATAGGAACGCTTTTACACTGTTGGTGGGAGTGTAAATTAGTTCAACCATTGTGGAAGACAGTGTGACGATTCCTCAAGGACCTAGAAATAGAAATTCCATTTGACCCAGCAATCCCATTACTGAGTATATATCCAAAGGATTATAAATCATCCTACTATAAGGACACGTGCACACGAATGTTCATTGCAGCACTGTTTACAATAGCAAAGACCTGGAACCAACCCAAATGCCCATCGATGATAGACTGGACAGGGAAAATGTGGCACATATACACCATGGAATATTATGCAGCCATCAAAAACAATGAGTTTGGGTCCTTTGTAGGGACATGGATGAACCTGGAAACCATCATTCTCAGCAAACTGACAGAAGAGCAGAAGATCAAACACCGCATGTTCTCACTCATAGGCGGGTGTTGAACAATGAGAACACATGGACACAGGGAGGGGGGCACTACACACTGGGGTCAGTTGAGGGGAAACAGAGGAGGGATGGTGGGGGGTAGGGAGTTGGGGAGAGATAGCAAGGGGAGAGATGCCAGATGTAGGTGATGGGGAGGAAGGCAACAAATCACACTGCCACGTGTGTACCTATGCAACAATCTTGCATGTTCTTCACATGCACCCCAAAACCTAAAATGCAATAAAATAAATAAATGGAAAAAAAATGTGAGCTGGACAAGGACTACAAAATAAGCTGAAAGAAATCAGAGATGACACAAACAAATGGAAAAATCATTCCGAAAAAAAAATCATGCTGGGCATGGTGGCTCACACCTGTAATCCCAGCACTTTGGGAGACTGAGGTGAGTGGATCATGAGGTCAGGAGTTCAAGACCAGCCTGGCCAAGACAGTGAAACCTCATCTCTATGAAAAATACAAAATTAGCTGGGCATTTTGCGGGGTGCCTGTAATCCCAGCCACTCGGCAGGCAGAGGCAGGAGAATCGCTTGAATTCAGGAGGCGGAGGTCGCAGTTAGCCGAGATCATGCCATTGTGCTCAGAGCCTGTGCAACAGAGCAAGACACAACTTAAAAAAAAAAAAAAAAGAAAAGAAAAATCCATTCTAAAATTCACAAAGAACCAAAAAAGCAATCCTAAGCAAAAATAACAAAGCCAAGGCATCACATTATCTGACTTAAACTATAAGGAGGCTACAGTAACCAAAACAGCATGGTACAGATACAAAAACAGACACACAGACCAACAGAATGTGATAGACAGAAATAAAAACACACACCTACAGCTATCTGATCTTTGGCAAAGTTAACAAAAATAAGCAACAGAGAATGGATTCCCTAATTCAATAAATGGTGCTGGAATAGCTGTCCAGCCATATGCAGAAGAATCAAACTGGACCCCTATCTTTCAGCATATACAAAAATTACCTTAAGACAGATTAAAGATTTAAATGTAAGGGGCTGGGTACAATGGCTCATATCTGTAATCCCAGCACTTTGGGAAACTGAGGTGGGTGGATCACTTGAGGCTAGGAGTTTGAGACCAACCTGGCTAACATGGTGAAACCCCGTCTCTACTAAAAATACAAAAATTAGCCAGGTATGGTGGTGTGTGCCTGAAATCCCAGCTACTCAGGAGGCTGAGGCATGAGAATCGCTTGAGCCCAGGAGATGGAGGTTGTGGTGAGCCAATAATGCACCACTGAACTCCAGCTTGGGTAACAGAGGGAAGACGCTGCCTAAAAAAAAAAAAAAAGATTTAAATGTAAGACTTCAAACTGTAAGAGTCCTAGAAGAAAACCAAGGAAATAACATCTGGACATCAGCTATGGGAAAGAATTTATGGCTAAGTCCTCAAAAGCAATTGCAACGAAAAACAAAAATTGACAAGTGGAAATTAATTAAACTAGAGCTTCTACACAGCAAAAGGAACTATCAATACAGTAAACAGACAACCTACAGAATGGGAGAAAATATTCACAAACTATGCATTTGAAAAAGGTCTAACGTCAGAAGCTATAAGCAACTAAAAAACAAAAACCAAGTAACTCATGGCCAGGTGCGGTGGTGGCTCACTTTGGGAGGCCGAGCTGGGTCAGGAATTTGAGACCAGTCTGGCCAACCTGGTGAAACCCAGTCTCTATTCAAAGTACAAAAATTAGCCACGAATGGTGGCAGGTACCTGTAATCCCAGCTACTCAGGAGGCTGGGTCAGGAGAACTGCTTGAACCTGGAAGGTGGAGGTTGCAGTGAGTCAAGATGGTGCCATCGCACTCTAGCCTGGGCCACAAGAGGGAAACTCCATCTCA